CATCTGTGTTTTAGATAATTTGGTCTTGCACTGTTTTATTTAGGTCTTTATTAGGTCTTACCGTGTAAGTAAAATTATTATTATTATTTTTTTATGATTAATATTGACCTGGTCAAACTTTTACACCATAATCTGTCATGCCAATCACTTTGATTGTCTTTTATTAATGATAATGAGTCAAAGCACATTTAATAGCATTGTAACTCATAAGAACAGGAGACAAAGGACACAGACTGTGTGGCCACTCTTCATGTTAACACCTCATTCAGCAGATAGATGTTTTCCACAGTGACAGTGGAGAGCAGTAATACACTGTGGCTTTTGGAGCTGAAGAGGCAAATATATGTAATGCTATTTTACTAATTTTGGCATTTACAATTACAATATGAGCAACTCACTCACTGCACCGGGAGGAAAGCCCTCAGTGTGTCCTCCAGCTGCACCCCTGTGACTCTTACTGTTCTCTGACCCTGTTCAGACCTGGTATTAACATCCATCCTGAGAGATCTGATCACAAGTAGACACATTAAGACACACACCTGGCATTAGAATGCATTCTGATGTCTCCAGTGACCACCTGTGATTGGATCTTAAGTCCCCACTCCATATGTAAATAATCACGTGCATGATTTTTGTTCGCTAAGTCTAAATTATGTTGTTTTTATACAGTCTGAGTTTACAGCTGTGTCCAATGACTGAGTGTTTGTGTCGGTCTGTCTGTGTCAGAGTGGAAGTGAGAGCAAGCTGAGTCAGGAGGGACTGAATAAATGAATGTGTGCAGCGATAAAGATAGATCATACCAATTCAAGAAAAGTATCAATCACCACTATGTGGTGTGGTTCTTTTAAAAGAAAATCGATATACAAGGACACTGAGAAGCTTAAAAAGATGTAGGGAGCCAGCTGAGTAGATCGTCTTTCATATGTGGCACCGGGACACATTTTTGTTCCTACAGTGAAAAGAATGTGGCCACACGCGTCCCAGACAACCTCCAGATGTGGTTTGAGTGATCAGATCTCACTGAGAATGCATTGGGTCCCTTTAGACCTGAAGTTAGTGCTGACCACTTGTGATATTATATAGATACTATATTCAGTTAATTGAAATACAAAGAGGTAATCTACTATAAAAACTGCAGGGTATAAGGTCAAACAGCAGCTGGAACGCACCACTGTAGGACTGTGAAAGGGGACAGTAAAGATGGCAGTTGGGTATTTACTCACCCTTGATGAGCTCTGGCTTGTAGGAGCTCCTCATGTTCTCCAGGATGTTGTTGTAGAAGGGCTGGGCCAGCTCTGCAGGCATGGCTGAGTGGAAGTCTGGCTTGTTGCCCTTCAGTATGCACTGCAGAGTGAACTGGCTCACACACAGCACCTCAAAGTCCCGGTCCATAACACTTTTGCTCCAGGGTCGCCCGTTCTCGTCTTCGAACAGCCGCAGGTTGAGGATCTTGCGTACTCTGACAGCAAGAAGAGGATGAGAGGAACGACCGTGAGCTGCAGTGAATCATCCACTCCGTCTATAACGAGACTTTACGAATTCCTCTGATCAATCTAATCAAAACTGGTAGCCACACTAGATTTGCAATGTATACTATTACTGCTGAACATACAGAAAGTATTCATATGTACATTATGTACAGTTTATGTTAACAATTAAGTTACCTTCATTGTTTGTCAAAGTTATAATATTGTTTTGGAGTAATTTAATTTACATGTGAATATTTATACTAAGCTGCTATTGATGAATATTGACAGGTTTTTAAATGCACTTGTACTCACAGTCTTCAGATCCCATTCAAATCACTCATTCAATTTCAATTTGTGGAACGTGCATAAACTGTGTTATCCATCCCACTCTATACCAGGTGAGCATTCATTTCAGTCTTTAATTCCTGATGCATTGCCATGGCTGCAGCAGTTTAATGTTGTGTCTGGTTAATATGGACTTAATTCTAACAGTTAGATATACTAATATATGCTGTATGACAATGGATGACCTTTAGAAGTTTCCCTGTGCCGTCTTAGTTTGCAAACTAAGTACAAGAGCCTTTAAAAATGTGCGGATTAGGACGTATGATGTTTCCTTCTGCCATTTTGTGAAGTATAAATATAAAGTAGCGTTAAATGTATTTGTCATGTACCAGTGTTCAGATCCCATTCATTCGTGGAACGTGCGTAATCTGTGGAACCCCCTCCACTGAACATCAGGTGTGGTAACACTACCATGACACACTTCACCCGGGGTCATCTCAGCCACAACATTGTGTGCAGAGACTGTGGACCAGTGGATGACACCACTCAGCCACACACTTCGAACACAGCAGCGTGATGACGTGTGACCCAGTCAGGGTGCTGGGCCGCTCACTCACATGTAGTCAGCATCTCTCTGGGTGTCCTCCACAGACACACCCAGCAGAACACACAGTCCTCGGCCTATCGAGCTGACCTGCTCCTCTCCCACTGCAGGAAGACACAGAGTGAATGAAGAGCTGGTTGAATGAAAGACAGGAAGCAGCAGGGACACATCGGACACACAGAGGACACAGAGGCGTCACTTGTTTCCTCGGTCTGGACTCTGGTCCCTCACAGACACGCCTGACTGTCTCTGTTGCCCACGCTCACTCAGCAGTGAGTGCTAATGCTAACGCAGCTAGCTGTAGCTAACATGCAAGGACAGCGGACTTCCTGGATGACAGCTGTTAGCCTCGGCTACCTAACATTAGCGTGACACTTTCAGGAGCTGGAGAAAAGCATGTTACCTGTCACCGTCGCCTTGGTAACCCTCTGCACGATCGCCCTCATAGTTTCGCTGTTTGAGGAACACACGAGCGCACCGCTTCCCAGCTGTCGCCACCTAACGGCCGCAGCGCGCAACACGCTTCCTCTGCTGGGACACAGCAGGGGCGGATCCAGGGGGGGGGGGGGGGGGGGGTCACTGGCCCCTGCTGAAATCAGGACCCTGAAGTTTCCCCATCCTATTTTTTTCTATAAACAAGTCACTTACTAACAATACCATTGGTAAATATTATAATTTCTGAAGACTTTTTATTTTCAAATCTTATTTGAAGAACACTTTGTCCTTGAACAAGAAGAAGATTTACTTTAATTATCATGATTTTTGCACACTATTACATGCATACATGAAATTCATCCTCCGCATTTAACCCATCCAGTAGGCACCTGTCGAAACACGCACATGCATAGGGACACACATAGACAGATGCCATGTACACACATATACTGGAGCGGTGGGCTGCAGTTGTCAGCGCCCAGGGAGCAGATGTTGGGGGGAGGGGGGGCGGTGCCTTGCTCAAGGGCATCTCGGCCGTGGCAAGGAGATGAGCTGCCACCCCACCAGCTGTCAGTCCATCAATTTTTTTTCAAACAGCGGGAGCAAGGATCGAACAAGGAACAATTTATATCAAGATATATTCAATGATGTGTGTCTTTGCTAATACTGAACTGTAATTTATATATAAATACA